CTGGACTCAAATGAAGGTGTAGAACCATCTCAGGGATGATCAGCAGAAATGGACAGCACCTAAGTTAAATATATGAGTGTCACAGCAAAGGGTCTGAATACTTATGACCATGTGATATTTCAGTTTTTCTTTTTTAATAAATCTGCAAAAATGTCAAATTCTGTGTTTTTCTGTCAATATGGGGTGCTGTGTGTACATTAATGAGGAAAAAAATGAACTTAAATGATTTTAGCATATGGCTGCAATATAACAAAGAGTGAAAAATTTAAGGGGGTCTGAATACTTTCCGTACCCACTGTATGTACTAGATTTCAAGGGCAGCTAATTAATTTTTAAGTTATCCCATGGAAATTTGATTGGCTCAGCAAAGTCGGTAAGGAACACCAATGTGCCATTCCAAGAGAGTGAGTCAGTCAGACCAGTGAGTCAGTCTGATTGGAGTGGCAGATCACAAACACTTTTTCTGGAGAAAAATCACCAATACTGACCTGTGAGTTGGTCTGGTAGGAGTGACAGGTCAGGCTGTGGGGCAGTTAGCTTCAGGGCACAGAAGAGAGCACTTTTTACTGCCATGTCACACCAGGAGATAACACTTCCTCTCACTCTTTGTGTCATGGTGACAATAAGACAATTACAGTTACTTTGAACAAAGATATATAAACATAAATACAATTTGTTGCAGCCACAATGAAATGTCTAGCAATGTCCTATAACAATAAAACAAGACAACTGTACTGAGAAAGACTGAACTGATTGTTATAAATGTTTACCTCTGTTCACTGATTATCTTAATCTTAATCCTGTCAGTATCATTTATCTGTGTTAGTCCTTCCTAGTGTTTTTGTTACTGCTCCATATAATTACAGTTGTGTGTTATTTTCCAGTGTGCCTGTTCACCAGCCTGTTTACTATTTACCTGATTACCAGTATTCTTGTGGTTATCAATAATGTACAATATTCACCATAATCTGTTTGTTTTGAGCCTGAATCAGGGTCCTCTAAATACAACCGTGACAGCTGAGTGTAATGTTGCTTTAAGTTTGTCTTTTGTGTGTATGTGTGTTTCAGGTATTCCAGTTGAGTCCAAGGTGAACATCTTCATTAACAGCTTTGGGTCCATCCAGGAGACCACTATGGTGACACAGTTACACACCACAAACACTCCTCATACTGTATGAGTAGCAGCATAAGCAGTGATGACAGTTATTAATATGATGTCTCTCTCTACAGGACTACAGAGTGAATATATTTCTACGTCAGAGATGGAATGACCCTCGTCTACGACTTCCTACTGATTTTAAGAGTGAAGCACTAACTGTTGACCCCAAGATGTTCCAGTGTTTATGGAAACCAGACCTTTTCTTTGCCAATGAGAAAAACGCAAACTTCCATGATGTCACACAGGATAACATTTTGCTCTTCATCTTTAGAAATGGGGATATTTTGATCAGTATGAGGTACACACACTTTTTTGTCATTGTTTTGACCAGTATCCATAACTCATGGCCTACTCCTTTCCATTATAAAATAGCAAGCAGTCCACCAACAGAGCAGCTGTTTACAGTGATTGTATAAACCACTGTGCCTTTCAGAATTATTTCTATGAAAATGGCCGAATCAATGTCAGTTTGTCAGTGCGTTTTATGATCAAATAACTGTGAAATGAATGACACTTCCATCAGACACAGGTCAACTTTGTGTTTAGTGCTAATTCTAATAAGTGAATGTTAGCATGCTTACATGCTAACTTAAGATGGTCAACATAGCAAACATTTTACTTGCTAAATATCATGTAAGCACTGTCAGTGTGAGCATGTTAGCATGTTGACATTTTGTACAGCCTCACAGATCCACTTAGGAAGCTTAGATGAACTGTACACTGTTTGTCATGCTCCTGTTCAAGCCAAATTGTATTGGTGTTGGGAAGATTAGTTTAGAATAAGTAGTAATTTAGATTTTGTTCTAAATGATTTCAAGAATACAAACATGTGACTACTATACCTATACAGAATGCATATCTTTCATAACATTTTTAAATGTATCTTTGGGTCATTGTGGAGCTGTAGTGGTTCCCCATTGGAAGACAGTATAGAGAGAGATGATTTTGACCTTGTGTGTGTGTCTTTAGGCTGTCAGTGACACTGTCTTGTCCCTTGGATCTTACACTCTTCCCAATGGATACACAGCTGTGTAAGATGCAACTGGAGAGCTGTGAGTACACACACACACACACACAATCAGGCTAAGTACTGTACATTTGCTTACTTTAGAGCAGAGCAAGAACAGAATGCTACCTGGAAAATACAGCAACTTTTCAAAGTCATCTTCCCATCTATCGCCTACATTTCACTGTGTATTTGTTCATGGGATTTTGTTTCATGAACAAAACATTCATCTGAAAACTTGGATTGTATGCAGGGGTTACAGTAGTAGACCTACTGTATTTCATTCTGCCGCATGCTGCCATGGGGAAGACTAACATTAGCTAATGTTAGCATATTACCTGTGGCCTGATTCTTGATTTAGTCTTTATTTACTTTTCTGTAGCCAATAACTGTGGAATTGCTAGAATAAATTATAGAATAGATTTTATTTCATTTCATTTCATTTATTATTATATAATAGACAATACATGTACAGTATAACAAAACTTTAAGTGCCTTCTCTCTTCAGCAGACACAACAAATAAATACATAAGATGAAACTGTTTAAATGAAACTGTTCAAATACATTTATAACATAAGACTAAAAATAAGAATACAAATGGAATCAACAGCAGTAGCAGCAAAGCAGAAAGGAAATGTAGCAGCTTAATATTGCTGCAAGCAAAATTATGCATAAATTCATCTGGTTGTAATACAAGAAGTCAGTGTAATAACAGTCCCTGAGAGACAACACTGCTAAAGTCTGAAAGTGCAGTACTGTGTCTGCATGTATGAAAAGGTTGGACGTGTTATCATTCTGAGTTGTAGTGAGGAAGGGGTTGAGGGGGTTGTTGGAGGTGATAGAGGCCACAGCATGAGGAAGGAGCTGTTTCTCAGACTCTTATCTTAACTGAGCAAACAACCTAAGCTGCTAGTTTTTTAAATCATTGGCAGTAAGAGGGGGACAGAGAGTGCTGCGAACAATAGCAGTTTCTCCTCATAGCATAAGTGTACCCAACGTTTTTATAAAGGCAAATGTTCAAAAATGGGGAGAGGGGAAGGGGATGTGCGATTGAGGCTTAGCCTAAATACAAATAATATTTAATTAACGGTAAAAGACTGCTTATTTTGCGATAACCAAATATAGACAGGTGTAATTTAGTTTTTATTTTGGATTCCAAATAATTTAAGACCCCCTCCAGGCATGCTTTGTAGCATATAAAAATACTCTGCTTTGTTTATCCTAATACAATTTTGACTTGACTCACAAAAATAAGGACCTGAGACATGACCTGTGATTCAACCTACTTGAAGCTTGCCTTAATTTTTTAAGGCAGTCGTCACTAAACTGAAGTGGTTCTGAGTAATTTGTGAAAATTATGGCAACCATGGTAGCAATAATTTTACATTTACACATCCTGTAGAAACAGAGCAACATTATTTGGACTGGTGCACCTGACAAATGTGACTCCAATATTCACTCTTTGTTTTGGTCTTCACTAATTCCATGTCCACTAAGTACATGTTTGATTACTGGCAGTTTTTGTTGCCACTGCCTTTGCTATTCACCAACTGCCAAATCAGTGCAAGCATAACACCAAAAGACAGGCTGTTAATCACATTGCCCATGTGCTTGTGCGCATTAGGCTGCAGCCCCTACAGCTCTGTGAGGCCTTGGTTAGCTGTGCTGGCCAGCCTTATTGAACAATGCACCATGTGGAGCAATCCAAGCTTGAAATGGCTTTTCACAAAACAATAAGAGAGTACAAGACTGGAAAGGTGAATGTTGGAGTGGACAGCATCTTCTAGGAGGGCTGGCACCAGCAAGTGGGGAAAAGATCAAAACAAAGACATTAAAAAATACATTAAAAAATAAATCATTAACATCTTAGCATATAATACAAATTAATACAGATGATTAATTTTGATTTATATGTTTTAGTTGGTTACACAACCAGTGATCTCGTGTTCATGTGGCAGTCTGACCCAGTTCAGATGGATGAGATTGCTCTTCCTCAGTTTGACATCAAACAAGAGGACATAAAATATGGAAACTGCACAAAGTACTACCAAGGAACAGGTTAGTAATTGTTAAATATATAACAAACTAACACTGCCTTTAACTCAGTTACTTCTTTCACTGTATTTCTATATAAGCCATATTACTTGTTAATATTTTATGCCATTATTAGGTTACACCCTCCCTGGCAGTGTTATGAGTTAAAGTGTTCAGTACTTGTATCAGAGACTTGGTTATTTGCTACATTCGTCAGAGGAAGGCTTGTGTTTATAAATATTAAGAGGGTCCTCAGTAGTAGAATGGCCATACTTGTTCTCATCACTACAACAGCTTCTCTGGTGCAAAAGTGCTGGTGCTGTCTTCAAAGGAGCGTCCCTTGTCCTTCAGATGTAAATGGACTGCTGAGGCTTGTCCTGAGGAGTTGACTGTCCTGTGCTGTGCCATGCACTTGTGCGGCTGTTTTGTTTCTCCACTGTACAAGTCTTGGTATTCCTCACTGCACTGAACTGCATGTACAACGTTCCTCTGCTTATTGTCTGGGTGTTTGTACTTAGCGTGGACCAGCTTCTGCCTCAGGGGGTTTGCTGGGTTTGAAATATACAGGCATGCAGTGTTTGTTGAAGGTAATATTTGACTCCCACTGGAGCACAAACTGAGTTATTAGGACCCTACACCACTGGGCTGAGAAAGTGGCTACAAGGGCAGAGGGGAAGAAGAAGAAGCACAAACACATCGAGGGAGCACTTAAAACCTGTAGTTACCTTGACTGGGCTTTTGCCATAACCACAAGAAGATCCAGTAAGAACCCCTCTATAACAAAGAACAGCGAGATAACATTATCATTTCATACTGTACCTGCTGGAGTATCTGAAAAACTCAAGGGAATCTTCAACATGCACTGTGTCCCGGTACCAAATGAGGCACAAAGGAACACGTCACCAGTCACTGTACAGTATGTATTCTACTTTGAAATGTATGAAAAAGTAGATAAACTTATAGCAAAAAGTTTTGCTGTCACGGGAAATACGATGCACTGTACTCACAAGCTTGAATGAAAATAAAACTCATTCACTGTTAGTAGTGCATTGCACCTCTGCAATGCACTACTAACTTATATACTGGAGGATTTGTTTCCCAGTGAATTTTATCTTATGTAAATGTTCTCACAATGTTTTCTCATAACTCCCTTTCTGTTTGTCTCTATTTCTAGGATACTACACCTGTGTTGAAGTGATTTTTACATTACGTCGGCAGGTTGGTTTCTACATGATGGGAGTTTATGCTCCAACTCTATTGATTGTCGTTTTGTCCTGGTTATCATTCTGGATCAACCCTGATGCCTCAGCTGCAAGGGTGCCATTAGGTGAGTACACCATATCTGAATCAATTCACATTTAAGTTCTTTTGATATTAACAGAATTTGTGTACATTGTTTAAAATGTACAGGTAGGCGCACCACACAAGGAAGTATTTTGCCCATCTATATTTGTTATCAAGAGTTGCCCTTTCACACATGTAGCACTTAATACTCTGACAGAATTCATTCTAAGCATGTGAATATTTAATGTATTGATTTTTCTCATTTCTGCAGGTGTCTGACTGCTTTTAGTCCATTAATATTACATTATCTATTCATTGCAACCTTCCTTTATCATGTCTACTTACAGTCTAGTTGGTGGTAGAGTGCATGGTATCACAATCACACTAAACACATCACTGCTACCAACCAACCAAACTTTTTCTCTCCCCTTTTAAGGAGATTGAAAAGAACACAAATGTTAATTATCTGGAAATAATTATTCACATCTGGCAACACTGTGTTAACATCTGTGTGTTTATAGGTATTTTATCAGTACTCTCTCTGTCCAGTGAGAGTATGTCCTTGGCTTCAGAGCTACCGAAGGTTTCCTATGTAAAGGCTATTGATATCTGGCTAATTGCCTGTCTACTTTTTGGGTTTTCATCCCTGGTGGAATATGCCGTGGTGCAGGTCAGTTCTTACACACAAACAGACATATACATAGAACTATACACACACACATACAGCACATATCCATACCCATTATCAGGTTACACCCTCCCTGGCCAGAGACTCTGGCATTATGTAAGCAGGAGAAAGTGATAGTGGTGACACACCAGCAATGGCTCTAGACTGGTTAGTGTAATTAAATATGTTTAAAATAAATGATTTTTGATGGGATATCAAAGACCATGTATTGTTATTACACAGGTAAATGTACAAGTAGTAGTCCAAAGAGTATGATAAGGTCTGAATTGTGTCACTTGAATGGATAAGTAAAAGGTATGGTAAGGCCACAAAAGCAGGAGATTACACAGATGGCAAAGCTCAAAGAAGCATTCAATGTACTGTAGTAAGTAAAAGAAAGTAGCAAAAAATCTTTATAAGATCTTTTTTATACCATTTGAGTTGCATGAAAATTGCTTTAGAATTCTGTTTCATCTATATCAATATGTAATATTACATGTGATGTGTTGTGCAAATTATTTGATGTTACTGAAAACAAATCACCATTGATGTTTATGACTTTTGTAGGTCAAAGTCAAAGTGTTTATTTGTCATATGCACAGTTAGGAACAGGCACAATGAAATTCTTATTTTGCTGTCCACATGATGCCACATAATACAAGTGAAATATAAAGTAGATGAGCAATAACACAAATCTAAATAGGCAGTAAAATCACAAATCTAAGGCACTTTAAAGCAGCAAGTTAAGGGAGCAAATAAAAATACAACAAGAACACAATATAATGCAGAGAGAATATATGCGACATGGGAGCCGTGGAGTGTAAATACTCAGCAATGAGTGTGCAATTGTGCATGTTCAAAATGAGTATGTAAACAGTACAGATGGAATTATATGAGGTAGATCCTGAGTCAGGTGTTTAGGAGTCTGATGGCAGTCGGAAAGAAAGAGTTTTTCAGTCTAGAGGTCCTTGTAGCATGTCTAGATGCCAGATTTGTATGGGCATTTCAATTATCTGCAAGAACACCACAGAAACAAAAACCTGGCATGTTGTTCTAAAACAATTAAAAACACATAATACTGACACACCACTGCACTAGGAGACATATGTCCCCATTACGAAACGCAAGGCCCTGATATTTGTTAAGAATATCAAGAGATTGCATGCATGAAAGTCTGACATTTGCTTATTAAAGATGCTGTAAAAGGTTATGGCCACTTGGAGCCTTTTGGGCAACGTTTAAAGAAATATTAGGATCTGGTGTGTTGTAATGAGGAAACACGTCAGTCAGCGCAGCGGTGTGTCTCACTGATGTGTTAATCCTTTTTAACAGACTGAACATACTCTGAGTTGACTGAGTTACCTCTGATCAGCTGTTGTGGAACCAAAAACCCAGAGTTCTTCATTTCAGGGTTAGTCAACTCACAGATCAGAGTTAAGTTTAGAGTTTGGTACCCCTGCTTTCTGAAATGCTTCCTGGCCCCTCTGGTCATCTAAACTGTGCTTTTATGCAGCTGAATTCATTATATAGATGTTTTCATTTACTGTAAATGTTTTGACTGTTTTTTCTGCCAGACTACTGAACAAGAATCAATAGTCTAGTGATTGATTCATGGCTCAAACAGATAAATGTCATTTCTAAACTGCAGCTGTGGTACACTGCCATTAAACTGGCACTCTGTCCCTCTCTGTGTTCAGCTACTCTCTCTCTCTCTCTCTCTCTCTCTCTCTCTTTTTTTTAATGCAGCAAAATTGTAATTATTTTTTTTTTGGGATGTCAGACATGACACAAATAAGGAATACATAGAAATAGATTTTGGTCGTACCATACTGTTGTTAACCTGTAGTAACTGCAAACGTTATACAGCATCTCCCATTTAAAATGTTTCTCAATAACAGGAGATTTTTAACTGTAGCATACATCATGTTTAATATTTAAGTGACTTGTGGCACATGTTAATCATGATTAAAACAATAGATCTTTAACTAAATACAGTATCTGAAGCCTTGCATGATTTGAAATACAGCAGAACAACTGACAAGTTAAGTAGTGAGGCAGTGACTTTGTGACACCTGGTGGCAGAAAAGAGAACAGCATATTGGATTTATGTGGCTGGTGCAGAGATGAAGGATACTGCATTTCTATTGCAACAACCCCATAGGGGAACTACAGACACTCTGAGGTGGAGAAGACTGACATTGTACATGCAGCAAATTATGCCAAAGAAATCTACAAAACCCACCCTCCCCCTTCTTTGTTTCCTTCTCTTTTTCTCTGTAGGTGATACTAAACAGTCCCAAACTGATTGAGGAGGAGAAAGCTAAAATGGCCACTAAGGAGAAGGCTATGAAAGACAAAGAAGGAAAGAAGCTTCCAAATAAAACGAACAACACAGTAAACGGAACTGGTGGAACACCCATTCATGTCAACACCCTGCAGGTAAACTCAGCTTGACCAAAAAGACCAGGAGCATGCATAAACATATTCCTGTAATTTACATTATGAGCATCTCAGCATCACATTCATTTTTGTTAATGAGATTGTTATTATTATCAGAACAATTCACAGGTAATATAAAAAACCCCAATTGTTATTTTGACAAATTTGAAACTTGTATTTTGAAGATTGAGGAGTATCAGAATCTAATATGAGCAACACACAAGGAACCTGACTTTGGTATAGAGGTACTCACTGGATAAGACTGGAATTATACTAGTGCCTCAGCAAGAACTGTTAATGAGACACTATTTTGCAGTGTCTCTTTCCTTCTCTCTCTGTTTGTGTTTGAGATCAGAAAAGAATGACTTTTCCTGAATGATTCCTTTAATTAAGGAAAATGCATTATCATAGAGCAAAATTGCAGTAATGTACAGATCAGTACTCAGCAAATCATCTACAATGGTTTAGTAGAGCAAAATTGCAGTAATATATATATCAATACTCAGCAAATCATCTACAATGGTTTATTGTAATGAGTTGTTAGGAATACAGCATTATCCTCATCATGGTCACATAAGCCCCTTCAGACATGCACGCTTTTCCATTAATCTGACGACATCTGAAAGTGTTGACTTCATATCTGAATGAGCACCCTGGTCACCTTTTTGTAAAACTTGTAATTGAAACTTTTTTATGTCAGACCTGGTAATATTCACATATCACTTTCAACACAACTCAAGTCTGAACTGCATGCAGTTAATACATTAATGGATGTGCGTGCACAAGATTATAATGTACTCATATAGGACCTTTTGTAAACAACAGTCATGACAGTCTAGGTGTCTATGCATGTCTCAGCTCACAAAAAAGATTGTTTTGGAGAATGCCCTAAACAGCAGTAACATGAGAGAAAATAGTTCACCTTGAACACACCTGTCTGCCATGTTGTAATAAGAAAACTCTGGGCTCATACATTTTACACCCCTTGATAATACTGTATAATCTCACACACCTGACAAATACTGTATCATGTGGATATCATGGCTCTCTGTCACGGTCGTGGATATATCTGAATGAAGCTTTGAGGAACATTAATGTAAAAATGACCTTTGTCTGAATGACAGGATGATATTTGCCATATCATGTCTAACAAGGGATATAAACAGTCAGGTTTCTGATCATTATTGCATAATAAATATAATAATGGCCCCAGCATGCTCCCCATTTAATGAATCTTTCTTTAAACAGCAAAATGCTATGCATTATGAGATCAGTTACAGTATCAGACAGTCTCTCTCTTTCATCAGGTGGTTGAAACTCGCTGTAAGAAAGTTTGTACCTCCAAGTCAGACCTTCGATCCAATGACTTCAGCATCGTGGGATCTCTACCTCGAGACTTTGAACTTTCCAACTTTGACTGTTATGGCAAACCAGTTGAAGTAACAGGAGCTCTCAAGTCTCAAAACAAAGCCAACAAAAAACCTCCACCACCCAAACCTGTTATACCCGCTGCTGCCAAACGCATCGATCTTTATTCAAGAGCCCTCTTCCCCTTCTCCTTCCTCTTCTTCAATGTCGTCTATTGGTCAGTCTATCTGTGAGAGGAGAAGAAGGCATTACATGTCTCTATGTCTGATATGGAACTTTGCACTTAATTTAAACTAAACTTTGTTGTGGTTATACCCAGAGCCATTAAGATAGAAGAGCTGCAACTCTGATGGGTCAAAAATAGCAGCAGGTCATATGACTCATGTAGGGAACAGCAGGAA